CGGGGCCGGGCAGAGCCAGGCAGCCCTGCCCGGATCTCACCGACAGGCAGATGGATCCTTTTCCCGATGCCGAGTTGCCGTCGGGCGTATCTTTGGTTATCGCCCGGCGGTTTGAAAGCCGGCGGGTATGTTTGGTGTTGATTTAGTTGTGTTTCGTTTGGCCTTTGTAGGCGATGGGGAGCCAAGAGCATTAATTTGGATGACGGATCGTATAAACTCTGACTCCTTCGCTCCCATTCCAAGGACTTGATAAACGGTAATAGGAACTCTCTCTTCCCCGTGTAAGTGCTATTTTATCAAAAGCTGGCTGAGTTATAGCCGCCCTCTAATGTGGGGGCAATTAGGAACTGGCTGCATTTCACAGGCTGGAGAGGCATGCAGGGGAGGGGACGGCTGCCGCGGGGAGGGGAGGAGGACAGGGCTCTCCGAGAGCCGTCCAGGGTGCACGTAGCCTTGGCTGACAGCGCCTCGGCGTCAGGAAGCATCTTCAGCCAGGACATCCCAACGCCGTTCAGCCCCAGCACAAGCAGAGCTGAGCACAGATAAGCTGAAGGGGAGAAAAATCAGGGAGCGTGGATGTGGCAGGGACTCTCCATCAGTCTGGAGGATGTGCCTGGGTTTCTTGGTACTGGCAGGACAAAGAAGCCAGTGTGGGGAGAGAAGAGGCGGCAGCCGAGGTCCGACCCAGCCGGGCTGCGGAGGTGGAGCACCTGGACACCTCTGAGTGCCAAGAATGGATTTCTTCTCTCACTGAAGGGGACAAGAATAATCTCCTAGCTTCTGAGTACACTGAGCACTAATAATGATAATGCAGTAAAGCCTCATTAAATTGGGCCTCTGATAATCTACTTGCCCTATTATTAGGCTTAGCAGGATTCAGGCATCTATTTTTATCAAAAATTGATGGTTAGAGGCTGGGTTCATTTGTGATCGCTGGTGTTTACTGCCCGGTTTCTAATTCCTGGTCAATGCGGACGTTACGCGGGTGGGTCTGGGAAAGAAGGCACTGCAAAATTGTTTATTGATTACAAGCAAACGCTAGCAAACCTGCCTGTAATCCATCCAGAAAAGGCTGTCTCATCCATCTGTTTAGCAAAGCGCGAGGATGCACTTGGGATGGGGCTGGTGTAGATGAAGCCCCTCTTCTCCCTGGCGCCCTGCAGAGCGTGGCAGGGTTCAGGTGGCCCCAGCTCCTCCATCATTAGGCACTTCTTGGTCTCTGATCAGCCTTTTTATAGCCAGGGCGAACCCAGCCTGGTATCCAGTATACCCCCAGCCGGATAATTTCAGGAAACTTTCCTGCTCCCCGCCCCAGAGCCTTGCAGAGGAGCAGCGAACCACCTGCTCCCACAGAGGCATCCAGTCGTCCTGCAGAGCCCATCTTGGTCTCCCTTTGCCTTTGACAGTCTCGTACAGCGCGGTCATCCCAGGTGTTCGGAGAACATCTGGTCACTTCAGGTGTTGCACATTATTCCACCAAGCCGATGCTGTTATTTCAGGCCGCTTCCCGCAGCCTGCAAATGGTTCGTAGCCGGCAGCCGTCCTTTCATAGCGGCTGAGCTTTCACGTCGCGATGTGTTGTGGGGATGAGCTCGCTCCCGGCGTGCCGGCACGTGGTAGTCCCTGGCAGTGGCCTGGGGCTCCCCAGGCCCACCGTGCCACTGCAGACCATGTTGTCACCAGCGAGCTGGTGCCTGCTGGATGTCCCTGTGTGCCAGAGCGATGCTGACGCTGGTACCTCTCGACTTTGACCTCAGCGAAGGGTTTGACAGGATCATCGTTAAACCCTGCAGCCCCACCGTGGTGGCTGATGCAGGAGCTGCCCCGGAGCGGTCTGCACATGGCCAAGCCCCAGTGAGGAGCTGGACCCCGTGCTCGTCCCAGTGACCACCTAATGCCGGCTTTCCTGGGTGGGGTGGGATGTCCGTGGAGGTTCCAGCTGGCAGTGAGCACTCATAGAGTCACCAACACAGACACCCGTCCTCCCCACTGCGCTTTTAAGTGTCTGAGTACAGTAAATGCTGTCAAATCCAGGCAGTGACACTGGCACTTTTTCTTTTTAGTTTGGTTGAGGAATTCAACCCTCATCTCATGGCCATGCTGGGCTGAACTGAAACCACTTCTCACGTCACGAGCTGGCTCTGGCTTCTCCTGTCCGTGCTCTCAGGGACCGCTCAGCTGTGGGGGCCGCTGAGCAAGCTGGTTGCTTTCTGTTTCCCTTGCAGAAAAGCCTGTGCATTTCTCATCCATCGTAGAGGCTCAGAAGCTGAGTGCGGAGCCGACAGCCGCCTCCTGCTGGCCCCCCGTCCTGTCCTACTCCCGGGATGTGATAAAAACCTCTCCCCAGACGGAGCCCCACTTGTTCCAGTACAACCCACCAGGCAAGTGAAAGCCGTCGGCTGCGTGGCGTGAGCCCTCCGTCCTCACCTGCGGCTGAGGACAGAGCAGCCAGTGTCATGGGTCGTGCTCTTGAATCAGTGCAGCTTTTTTGGGGAGGGTGAGAGAGAGGGTTTGGCAGAAACCTGCTAACACCTCGCTTTGGCCTAGCACGGAGCTCCCTTGCTGCTAACGCTGCTGGTCTGGGGGTCACCAGGCAGGTCCCCCAGCTCTGGCCAGAGTGAGTTCAGGGCCATGGTTTGTCATGGAGCAGTGTGGGTGCTCCCTACGCTGCTTTCGTGCAAAGCCAGGCAGGTTTTAGCCCTCGCTGCCCTGTCCCTCTCTGGCTGAGGGCAGGTGAGTGGGGCACAGCTCATCCTCTGGCTGCAGAGGGGACGAGACAGTCACTTAAACCATTCCAGTCCTTTCCAAAATCATTGTGTGACTTGAATCCTAGCGCAGGCTCACAGCCGGTCAGTTCACCGCATCCAGCCCTCACTCCCTCCCTTGCCCCTTTTCTCTCCGGTAGCTGCAGCCGCTCTGCCTTCCCTCGGTCCTGCTAACACTCCTGTTTTCCACGCAGGACACCCCATCCCACTCAACCTGCATGAGAGCTCTCGCTCGGGGCTGCAGAGACTAGCGAGCATCTCCAACCCTCCTCCCCTCATCTCCTCCACCAAGCACCCCTCTGTGCTGGAGAGACCCGTTGGATCCATTTCCCAGGTAGAGTATGGGGTGTGAGTGGTGGAGACACCGCGTGGGGATCGGCAGACTTGCACCGCAGGGCATGCCCATCCAGCTCCACACGCCCTACAGCTCCGAGCATGCCAAGGTCCCGGTCGGCTCCATCACCATGGGCCTGCCTCTGACCATGGATCCCAAGAAACTGGGTAAGAAATCGGGAGGCGAGTGATTTCTCGTGCACTCCGAGAGCAGCGGGGAGCGAGCTCGCCGGCAGCATAGAGGAAAGAAGGAGCACAGGACACAGCAAGGGAGCGCAGAGGGATCTGCTAAGAGGATGAAAGGATTAGTCTGTCAGGAGAGCGGAGACACAGGGAGCTAAATTTGTGCAGTATAGGAAAGCGGCAGCCCCCCAGCCTATAAATACCCTCTGGCCAGTACCGTGATCAAAGGAAGAAAATACGTTGCCGCTCCCCAGGCCGGTAGGATAAAGAGTAAATGACCTGAACAAGGGAAGTGTTCAGTCTGCAGATTTGGAAGCATTTCTTAACAACAGGAGAGGCTGGAGCCAGACTGAGTCCAGGGAGGGGGGATCCAGGCCCTATTTCCCAATGCGTGTGGGTCCCGTTATAAACCAGCACTGGGTTTCCAACGCCAGCCCCACTCCCGGTGCGGGCAGCACCCAGCAGTGCCATGGCCAGGGCGAGAACAAGGATCCGGCTTTGCTCGCTGGCGGTTGTGTGCGCTGCCAACCGCCGCAGCCTCGGAGTAGGTTGTGCCAAAGTGGTGGGGACAGCGAAGGCGCCAAGGAGGTGCCAACCCAGGGCTGGCAGAGCTGAAAGCCTGGAGCAGCTGAGGGCTGTGATCCCCTACCCTGCGCCTGTGCTGATACATGGTTAATGTTTTCCAGTGCCTTTTCCTGGAGTAAAGCAGGAACAACTTTCTCCTAGAAGCCAGGCCAGCCAGCCGGAAAGTCTGGTTCTGCAGCCGAGCCAGGAGGGCTCCATCCTGCGAGGTGAGGAGCCAGGGCAGGCAGCACGTGCCTTGGCTGTGGGAGGGGAGGGATGCTGGCACTGCCAAGCCTGAAGAACAACGCACCGGCTGCCCGGTGATTTCGGGTTTGGTTTCGGGGGTTGTGCCCAGCCGAAGGGGTCTCTTCACCCCTTTGCTCCGACATTGCCAGCGGGATGGCAGATAGGTCTGTACAATGGCCCAACGTCTCTAGTCATCTCCCCAAATCAGGGCTTCAGGCTTTGATCCTGGTGAAGGTTTTGTGTTCAAGGGGTTCCCAAAATTTGGTTAAGACAAAGCAAGACCTGTTTAAATGCCATTAATGGTTTCCAGGCTCTTCACCATTGCTGCTGCAGCTGGGCAGGGACCATGTTTCGTTTAATCCAGCCCTCCCATGTTTCTGTCCCCGTTAGCCAGTCAGAAGAAAATAAAGGCAAAGGTGTTGCTTTTAAGTGCAAATTCTGGTTTGTGAAACCCCCCAGCTAAGGCAGGCGGATGCAGGGAGCGTGATGGACTTGCTCCACCCTGCACAGATAACACGTGAATGAACTCCAACCACCCCAAGCTGCATCTCGCTGGAGGTCTGCTCTGATCGCATCAGGAGAGGCTGAGACACGCTGTGCCTTCTCCCAGCCCTGTAAATCTTCCCAGCCCCTCCACGAAGGCAGCAGGGAGATAATAGCCTAAAAATACTCATTATTTTCAGCTCCCAGCCCCGTGCTCACAGGGCTGGTCCCCCAGGGGGCAGGATGGGCATTGCTCTGCAAGGCACAGGTTTGAACACTGACGTTTCTTGGAGACCTTCCGCTCCAGTACCTTGGCTTACTGGAGATTGGGTCAAATCCTGCTCTTAGTCAGTAGTCTCAGCCCCATAGTTTTGTACTGAACAGCAAATCCTGCCCCCAGCTCACTGGCTTTGTGTCCTACAGGTACTTCCCTCAGCTCTGCCTCAGGAGGAAGCATCACCAAGGGAACACCCACATCCAGACCCCCTCCGGAGTCACCCATCACCTACCGAGGGTCCATCACACACGTAGGTCCCTCATCTCCGGCGAGTTTTGCTTCCTGGGTGTTGGTGGCCACAGCTCGTGGTGCTGGACGTGGGGGTCAGGGGTTTGCAGGACGCGCTGAGCATGCGGCACGGGGCTGAGCGATGCAGGGCTGCGACGTTTCTGTCCTGTGGAGCCCCTCGGAGAGGTTTGCAGCTGGAGCCTTTGCAAACAGCCTCTGCTGGGGCTGGCACGAGCCCTGTCCTGTATGCCGAGCCTGCAGAAGAGCAGAGCTCAGCAAGCAGCGATGCTTACAGCACGTCTAAACCCCACTTTGCTTTCTGTAGCTGTCAGGAACAGAGGTGAAAGCAGCTTTATATGGCTCTGGGAAAATAATGTTGCCAGTGCAAGAAAGTGGAGCGGTGAGAAGGAGGAGACAGTGGAGGGCCCCATCCGAAGGGAGGAGAGGGGAGACTGCGAGGTGCACGTAAGGCAGCGTGCTCTCCTGCCAGGGCTGAGCCAGCTGCGCTGGGGGTCCTGCCCAAAGGCGCTCTTGAGCAGGAAATACTTTGGCTGTAATCGCCACCATCCATCTTTGGAAGAGCAGCTGGCAAGCGGGCGATCGTTTTTTGCAGTATGAGTTATTGCTCATCTGGTAACAGAGTGGAGAGCATTAAAAAAAAAAAAAAATCTGTTTCCCGTGGGGATTTTATCTGGCCATCATTCAGATACTTGAAGCCACTTGCGCTCAAATTTTTGCCTGCCTCCTTCCAGGAGGGTGACCGTGTTCCCTTTGGCCCTGGGGACCTGGACCTGAATCCTGGCCCAGAGCAAAGGCTGATCTTGCCTGGTGCCCTGCACCCACCAGCTGCCAGGAGCGGATGCTCGAGGGCTGTAAATAACCCGTCAGAGCAAACACAGGCTCCAGCCCCTCGTATGCCTCCACAGCAGCTGTGGGCAGCAATGGGTGGGCACGAAGGGTCTGGAGCACCATGTGCCAGAGATCAGAAGACAAGCAGTTTGCCGAGGCACTGGTTTACATCCATCTAGACTGTTTTGTTTGCCTTGGGAATACGGGACCAAGCCCAGACCCAGGGCATCACCTGCCTCTCCTGCGTCCCTCTGCTTCCGCTGGGGAGAAGGAGCCCCCAGTTCCAGCAGCAGCTCTGAGTACCAGAGCTGATATTTGATCTCAAATTAGTCATCCGGTTCACAGAAGGCAGATCTTGAATATATGCTCTCTGCTCTGGAGCCATCTGTCATCACTTGCTTTCAAATCCCCTCTGAGCACGTTCGCGGAAGGAAGATGACTTACCTGGGGCTGGGAGAGCCGGTACCGGGTGTACTGCGAGGGCGAACAATCAGAGCATCGAACTTGCATGCTGGCACGTCCCGGCAGCCACAGTGGGGTTTTGGGGACCAGAGGGCTGGGTACAGAGCAGGGACATCCCATGCTGAGGTGGGGAATTAGTCTGCACTGGCACAATGTGGGAGCACCAGCAAAGCTGGCGGGGGCATCACTTCCCCGAGGCTTCCCACGAGCGTCGGTCATGGGGGCGGTGGGGTTAAATGAGCAGAGTAGGTGGGTGTCAGTCAAGAGCTGCGCTCTTGACAGCATCACTGTGGCTGTGCCTTCCCAGCGATGGGGTGGGGGACTGTCACCCCACCAGGGCTGTTCCCGATCGGCACTGACAGGTTGTAACGGCAGAGGGGTGTTAATCACCAGCATCATCTTCAAGGACATCCAGCTCTGGGTGTTTTGAAGGGGATTTGGAGAGAGGCAGGTGGCTGTGAGCTGCGTTGGCATGTGCCACCAGGGAAAGAGAGGTTTCGGTTCACACCAGTTGGCGTAAGGAGCCTGGTCCTGTTTCAGTTGGAGAGCTGACGGGCGGGCTTCACTCCCCGACCTGCTTCGGGACTGCTCTCGTAGACACCTGCTCTCTCGCCCAGGCGCGCTGCCAGCCACCAGCTCCCGTGCGTGGGCAGCAGCTCTCCGAAGGTCACGCGTGCTGCTAGCGGATGTGCCCTGGGTGGGCAGGACATCTCCGTGCCTCCTGCACCAGGCTGGGAAAATAGGCTGGAGGGAAAAGCTAATGCTCGAGGTGTCCCTGGGGGGGCACCAGCCCTGTCCCCTCAAACCCGTGGGATGGAAGCGAGCCGGGTAGCTCACTCCAAAACACACGGAGCGAGACTTGCTGGTTTGGAGGTCCGCGCTGTCCTCACCTCCCCGCCTCTTCCCAGCAGCCTTGCACAGATCACGTACCTTTTTACCGTTATCGTCCTCATCAATAATGAAGCTGCGAGTCCCTCGCCGTTGGCTGCGCCAGGAAGCGGAGGCCGGGCGCGCTCTCCCTGCGCTCAGCCTCCCGCGGGGAACAGCCTGTCCCCGGGCACGCGCTTGCTTAATTGCTTGTGACACTGTTAAATATGGATCTTGGTGGCTTTCCAAGGGCACCCCGGCAGAAGTGCTGTACAAAGGAACCATTACCAGGATAATCGGAGAAGACAGCCCCAGCAGAGCAGAGAAGGCGAGAGAGGATGCCATGCCCAAAGGACATGTCATCTACGAAGGGAAGAAAGGCCACGTACTGTCCTATGAGGGTAAGTCGGGATCCTCTGCCTTTTTAGGGCAGGTGCCAGGGGTTCGTGCCGCCGTGGCTGGGAGTCGGAGCTATTTGAGGAAAGGCTGATGAAGTGCCACAGGCCAGCCTCACATCTTAACTTCCAGCATCGTTTCTCTCCCTTCCCACCCTGCCTGCCTACAGCCCGGCTGGCTTTCCCTCTGTCCCAGGTGGTTATCTCACCTTGGAGGCAGCTTTGCCAGCGGGCAGGGCTGCAGTGGCACCATGGCTGTGGATGAGGTCTGTGGTTTTGGGGAGCAGGGCAGAGGAGAGGACCAGGTGGGAAGGTGTTGCCTTCATCCCTGGCACGCCTGTGCAGGAGGGAGCTGTCCGAAAACGCTGTGAGAGCATCCCTGAGCTCTTGGGCCACGGTGAGACTCAAGAACGTGCAAGGTGGAGGCAGGTCAAGTAGTTTGGCATAAAGGTTTGTTCGGGTGTCACATTCCTATTGGCAGCATCTTGGGCACTGTGCAGCTTTGCCAGCGTGGGGCTGCCCTGCAGGAATCCTCCGCGTCCCGGCAGCTCCCGTTAGAGAGAAGCAGATGCTTCTCTCCAGTGAAGTTGGAAACATCCCCTCTGTGCTTGCCTTTGCCATGTGCTGGGCTGGGCATCCCTGGCATAGAGCCAGCCTCCCTCTCACCCGCAGCTGGGGTTGGGAAGAGCCGAGTTGCAGCCGACGCAGCCTCGCAGCCCCATGACCTCTCGGGGTGTGCTCTGGCACACACAAGGACGTCCGTCCTCATGTGTCACCTCTCTTCTCGGTTGAATTTGGAGATGAGTAAGGAGCAGATCCTGACCTTAGCCACGCTCGCTCGCCTCTGCAGCCATGTCTGGTCAGCTCCTGTGTGACACTAACCCTCTGCCTGCCTCGCCAGGGCAGAGCATCCCTTTTGGCCTGCCTGGCAGCGTGGGCCCTGCCGTCAGTCCTGCGGGCAGAGGGTGGCCAGCCAAAATCCCTTTCCTCTTGTCCGCAAGCGCAGGCAGCTGTTTTTGTCACAGGCTGGTGGTTTCATCTGAGGCCAGAGGCAGAGGGTCCAGGTCAGGCCGCGGGGGTCAACTCAGAAGCTTCAGCTGATGCCACCTCGGTGTGCGCCCCGGGGCCGCGGGGACTGCTCGGGACGGGGCTCTGCGCTGTGCCTCTCGCCCACCGCGTGGCAACCGCCGCGTCCTGTGCCACCCGCGTTCGCTGTCAGCTCTCGCCCGGATAAAAGTGTCATCGCAGGAGACTTGTGTCTGGGCACCCCGTGGGACAGCTGGCAGGGCTCGGAGCAGGGAGGGCGCAGGAAGCGTTTCAGGACTTGCTTGTGCAAGAACCTGTTTTAGTCTCCTCTGCCTGGGCTGGGAGTCGAACGAGATTGATCTCAGAAACGGTGCCACCAGAGAAGAGAGACAGGGAAGGCTCCCGGCAGCGAGGGCTGCCTGTGCCCAGAGCTGGGATCCTGCTCCAGGCAGCGATGGAGAGCTGCAGACCACATTCTTCCCCACGGCACACGCTTGTTGGTGCCAGCCCGAGTCTCCGCAGCTGCACCTGAGCCCATCACCTCTCGTCCTACCTGCCGTGGACACAGATGAGGAATTAATTCCTTCCTTTCCACAGCAGCCTTTTTACACGCTTGATAGCGTTTATTGCATCCTGAGTCATCTCGTGTGCTTCGCAGCCTGGGCAGCCCTGCTGCCTCTCTCCATCCCCCCCATACAGCCCGGTGAGCCTGCAGCAGAAGAGTTAAAAAAAAGAAAAAAAGAAATTAAACAAGCAAACTGAAATTGTTGGTGATTATGAATTTTGGCAAGCAGAAAAAAAATTGCAAATTCTTTAGTGTCATGAGAGTGCTTAAAATAAAAGAGCTGTAATGAGACGAGATCCTGTAGCATGTGCAAGCTGAATTGTGCTAGATTGGTTATTCTCATCCTGCATATGATTGCTGATGGCTTCTGCAAGGCAAGGGACGTGGGTTTGGAGTGATTTTCTTTCTGTTTAGTCTCTCCTCTCCCTCACGCCCTCCTCCTGCTTCCCAGCAGTACAAAGGGTGCCCGGGACCACGTCCCCTCTGTGGAAGGGCTCTTGGCAACAGATGTGCCGTGATGACAGGGTGCGGGCGCATCGCCCCGCGGCTGCCGCAGGGTGCTTGGCTGGTTCTGCACGTCACCCCTGAATTTCTCCCCTCCGATGAATCTGAAGTGAGGACTCGAGCACAGATCCCCGTCTTGTTTCCCCACACACAGCTCCAAACCCACTGTGGATTGAGTGGGTGCCAACTGCAGAAACCAACAGTGGGTGTGAAGTTGTAATAGTCCCATTTTATTAATTACTGGTTTTGCCTAGGAGGACTTCTTTTTCCAATTGTCTGTGATGGAACAAATGTTTTTCACTTCTCCTATGTTTTCCCTAATGGTATAACCACCTTCTCTGCCCACAAAGAGGAGGATTGGGACACTGGCAATCTGTGGCAGGGGCGGCCGGGCCAGGGCTGATGGGCAGAGGCGTTTATCTCTCCAAGCCAACGTTCCTGCTCGGAGCTGGTTACATAAACATGAGGCGTTCGGCTGGCTCAGAAGCTGCCTGCTACATTCCCAGCTTGCCACATGTGATGGATGCCCATCGCCCAGGCTGGGCGTGACACTGCCTGGCACGGGCAGGGCTGTGCTTGCGGAGAGGTGGAGGCTGTAGCTCAGGACGGTTGTCCACTGTTGGTTTGGAGAAGAATCTGCTCCGGGTTTGGACGAGGAGGTCGTTGATGGTGTCCCATCACGCTAACGCTCGCTCCACCAGCCCTGCGTGGGACTTTTCGCTGTCTCTCCCACTTCTTGTGCGCACTCATCGCTGTTCCAGAGGAATCATTCTCAGCTTTGCCGCTCCTCCCTTTTCCCTCATTTTTCTCACCCAGGGAGTGTCTCAGCAAATGTTGAGGCTGGCCGAGATCCCAAACAGTAGGTGTCTAGCAAAAATCAAAACAAACAGGGAAAGAAAAATAAAAATCCCCAGACCCACGGGGCCAAGTTCAGTGGAACCGCAGCTGCTCGCCCCAGCGCCGCGCTGGCTCCGGGCTGTCCCGCTGCCTACGTGGTGGCCCCCGCCAGGGAGGAGGGAGCAGGGCACAACAGGGCGGATGCTCCTACCCGAGCAGAAGGCACAGATCTGGAGTCTGAGGCAGGCAGGGAAGGGAGAAAACACCAGCTGAATTTCTTGGAAGCCAACCTCGTGCGATGTTTCTGGCGTCGTTGAGCGGTGCCTGATGCTGGGATGGGATCTGACCTTTCAGCAACACACGCAAACAGCAGTAAACACCCTCCCTTGGCCAATCCTGACTTTCCATGCTCCTTATGGTGCTTCTCGGTGTTCCTTTCCCCAGGTGGAGTTGCTGCTTCTCAGTGTCCCAAAGAAGACAGCAGGAGCTCAGGAGCTTCGCATGAGACCACAGGAACCAAGCGGACCTACGATATGATGGAGGGGAGGATCAGCCGGGGCTTATCAGCCCGTGATACCTTGTCTGCCAGCATTGAAGGTGAGTCTGGGTGAAACCTTTCAGCCATGCTGGGTTAGTAGTGACCTGCAGAGACCCCGTCTTGTTTCTTGTCTACATGATGCATCTTCTCATGCCCATGTTTTGGCAGTGGTTAGCTGCAGCACATCCCAACGCAACAGCATCTGACCAGCGTGGGAGAACAAGGGACACAGACTGACCAATTTGCCTTTGGTTTTTATCCTGGTCGACCAGTTTCAGGACTACCAAAAAAGGACACCAATTTTAAAAAAAGAGGAATGGAGTAATTTAGAAATTGTTGATGTTTTTCCTTGTTGTCCCAGGAGCCCCTGGTAACGCTGTCATGTATTCATTGTAAATGAACTCCTGTGTCACAACCCAGCTTTCCCCCTTGGATCTGTTCTAGGTCTCATGGGTCGAGCAATCCCCCCAGACCGACACAGTCCCCATAACCTAAAGGAGCAGCATCACATGCGGGGCTCAATTACACAAGGTAAAGCCTGCGAGTAGAAGATGGCCACGGCCAGAGGTAACGTGGGGAAGTATCTCATGTGCGTGGCCCCTTGTCCTTGTTGTCAGGCTAGGGCAGGAGGAAAGAAGGATGGACATATTGAGGTCCAGCTGCAGATCTCTACAGCCTCGGCTGTGTGCTCAGAGAGGTTTTCAGTCTTGCTCAGCTTCTGCCAACCTAAGCTCTCACCAAAGTCAGGGGTAAAATTCTCAGTGACTCACATGAGGGCAGGTGGAAACTAGTGCAAAATGGATCCAGAAAGTGGTGGTAGATGTGAGGTGATCCAGCTGCATTAGTGATGTAGCTGCTCTGTGTGCTCAGTTGGGTACCAGTCCCTGAGTCACATGCATTAACTAGAGACCCCCTTGAACTGACCGTCCACACGAGGACTGGGAGTCCATTGTCTGGCTAGGAAATCACACTCTGCATCCATTGTCTGCTTGGGCATTGCAGGGATACCTCGGTCCTACGTGGAGGCCCATGAGGACTACCTCAGAAGAGAAGCCAAACAGCTCAAGAGGGAAAACACTCCACCGAGGGACTTATCTGATGCCTACAAGGTCAGGTCTCATGAGGGCCTTACTCCTCTGAAAATGAAACCAGCCCATGAAGGCCTGGTGGCTACGGTGAAAGAAGCGGGAAGATCAATCCATGAGATTCCTCGAGAGGAGCTGAGGCGAACACCAGACATCTCTCTGGCAAGACCTCTGAAGGAAGGCTCCATCACGCAGGTGAGTACAGGGTGAACAGCAGGTAAGATTGGTCCTACTCAGGCTGCTGTCCTTGCACAGACCCTGGGGGACCATTCCCCAGGTAAAAGGAAAGTGGCTTTGGGTTGCACACACATCACTGGTCAGAAGTGAAGCTCTGCTTGAGTATGGATTGCCCTTCCCCATGTTTTAATCTTTAAAGGTCCCTTCCAACCCAAACCAGTCTATGGTCCTTCCCAGCGGATAAATACAAAAGCCAGGGAAGGCAGCTCAGCACCCCCTGGCACGTTAAGAAAGCGATGCTCCATCCACATGTGTACATTGGAAGGGGACGCATTCAGCTCTTGTTCAAGGCCAGAGTCGACTCGGTCCCCTCAGCAGTTGTGACTGGGTGCGCATAATCCTGGTCTCCTCCCTTTACAGGCAAGTGTCAACCCAGCAAGGCCAGTAGATAGGACGAAACGTGGCATGCAGTCTCCTCTTGGGCTCCAAATATTTGGAGGGTTCCCATGGCACCTCGCAGTCCTGCCTCATTTCCCAGCGTACGTAGGAGAGAGGCGTGATGGGCACAGCCAGCCTTCAGCAGTGACTCATCATCATCTTGTTGGAGCACAACAAGACATGCAAGATGGGCCCTCCACCCTGCCCTGTGCCGTGCGGAGCTATTACCTCTGCTTTGCCCATGGCTGTTGCCATTTGACCAAGTAAACTTGGTCACCTCCTCACCTCCAGGAACATCTGATCCCTCCCGCTGAAGGAGGAAGCACGAGGCCCGTTGAAAGCTTGGTGGGACGCGGTCGCTGTATCCTCTTCTGCTCTACACCCCTTTGACGTCCCCTCTGCCTTCTGTCCCCAGGGTACCCCACTGAAGTACGACAGCAGCTCTTCCTCCTCGAGTACCAAAAAGCACGATGTGCGGTCCATCATCGGCAGTCCCGGCAGGACTTTCCACTCTGTGCACTCACTGGACGTCATCCAAGATCCGAGGAATCTAGAGAGAGCTTATGAAGAGAGCCTGAAAAACAGGCCAAGCCCGGTGACAAACTCGAGTGGCTCCATCGCCAGAGGAGCTCCTGTGATTGTACCCGAGCCGGGCAAGCCCCACCAAAGTGCCCTCACCTACGAGGACCACCAGGCAGGGCACAGCACCGCGTTCGGCAGCCACTTGCACAGAGGGTCTCCGGTCTCCACGCGGGAGTCGACGCCGCGGCAGCATGAAGGTACTTGGCGAATCTTTTGTTTGACACTAAGGTTTCCAGCGAGCCGAGCGGGCAGGGTGTGCGGGAGGTGGCTGCCGACCCCACCTGCCCGAGCCGTTCCCGCCAGGTGCCCGTCGAACCTGTTCTCCCCAACACCCTGCACCCACTCTTGCCCGCGGCTGCAGCTGACTCATGGCACTGGGGTGGCTGCCAGGGGTGGCTGCCAGGGATGGCTGAGGGCTCAGCGCCCTTCCTGGGGCTTCTACCATGCAGCAGGGGCACCCCACATCTGCACCGGGGAGACATGGACCATAGCTGGTGAAGCTGATGGTGTTTAGAAAGGTTCTTCTCTGTCCCACCACTGGCCCAGGACACCGCTGTTTCTAAAGGCGGGCAGGGAAGCAGTGTTCCATGCACTGGGTGGGGAGATCTTCAGGCTTTCCACCCATCTGCTGTGTGTTTGCCTTCCTCATGTGTTTATGCCTCATCCATCACCTGGGCACCCAAGTGCCTCACCTCTAGGAACATCTGATCCCTTCTGAGCTGGTCAGTCTGAGCAGTATGGTTGACCTTTGGGATCTGCCATCTCCCCAGCCTGTCTGCCTGCACCAGGGAGGGATTCCAAGGGAATAACCAACATTACTGCAAAACACCATCAGGAAAGTGGATTTCTGCATGTCCAGAGCTCACAGGGTTTTGGGGTGCAGAGGATCTGCAGGAGTCCCCATGGCACGGGTCGGAGTTGGAAGGCAGCTTTCTCGAGTCCCCTGAACTTTCCTTCTGCCCCGACTGTAGGTTTGGTTTAGGAGGAGCCGTGCCGAGATGCCAAGCTCCATGAAAGGAGAGGCTGGATCCGTCCGCGTGCACCCGAGGGGGCTGCTTCGTGCTCCCTGGTGTAAGGGCTTTGGTCCCGCTGCTTGGGGGTGGCTCTGTGCCGCCACTGTCCCCAGCCTGCTGTTAGGGACACAGGAGGTCGTGACGCTTTTCCCAGCACGGGCGAGAAGTGCCACCAGTGCCCAGCTCAGGTTGGGAGAGCCGAGACAAGACCCTGACAGGATCCAGCCTCCCCTCCATGTGCTGGGAAAGAGCTTATGGCTCCAGAGGGTGCTCGAATGCTCTGAACTGTGTTTTGTCACCATTACTGGGAGTTTTGGGGTCTCCAGCTGCTTGTGCAGGCCAGGATGAAGTCACAGACCACCCAGTGTAGATGCGCTGGGGTGGAGGGATGGTTTGGGACAGGCTTCTCCTCCTGGGTGCAGCCGGGGCTTGGCCTCCCTCGACCTTGGTGGCATCACGGAGCACGGCAGTGCAGGCAGAAGGGAAAGGTCCCTCCGGTTCAGGGTAGCTGTGAGCATCCCTGGAGGACACACTTGGCTGCAGGCATCCTCGGGGGACACAGCTTGGCCGCGGCACTCAGCC